TCGTCGCTCCGCAGAAGCAACGTTAGATTCGCAGAAATCCTCGGCCACGACCGAGCGAATATTCCGAGTGATTAATTATTTAAGGGAAATCTGGCGAATATCGCCGATCCGATCGTATCGGCGCCAATTAAAATAAATTTGCATTCGCGGCCTGTTTCGCCACGTTGGATTCTCTTCAATAGAACGACGGAGAATGGCCGTTTGTTCTTTTTACACCGTCAACCATTTATAACTGTCCAAAGGGAGTCCTTGTCGCGAGGAGAATTTCGTTTTCTCCGAAACGAACGAGAAACAGACGCGAATATATCAACAGCAAGATGAAACTGACATGTGTCGAAACTAAGCGTTCCAAAAATCGATTATTTCTGATTTTAGACATGCAAATCCGACTGGACCTAATAGAACATATCCCACACGTGGCGACGATCTCTCGCAGCACGCCGCACGAGGAACTTATCTACGATTATGTGATCAGCATCATTATCAGATATCTAAAAGATCAAGATAATCAGGTGAATATTTTCGTTCGTGTTCCCTACGCGATTAAATTCTTTGTTGGTATAATCGACAACGCAAACGCATATACTCCCGCCGGAAAGCTTGGAGCGTGTTAGGAGTTCAAAAGAAACAGTGACTTCCTTAAATGAATGTATGTATTGAACAAGTAAATATACGTACATTTCTAATGTTTTCAAGTATTGAAATTGTAATTAATTAAATTTAGAAGTGAGATTTATAATTGTAGTACTTGTATTTCTCAAGAGAGAGAGAAAGTTTATTTCATCTGGAAGGAAAAGGGCGCTCGAAACTTTTGAGCGGGAGTGTACCATATATTTATTGTATTAAAAACAATTTTATTTTGTGTTTATATAAATCCATGATATTTTACTACAAAACTTATACATATTGCTATATGTATTACCGAATTCATTTATCGATAAGCATGCTTGTCTGTTTATTATAAAATGTCTAAAGCATGACACTCTTTGTAACATTTAACGAGTGAAATAGCTCTCTATTTAGGTTTATTTTTAAATCATCTTTACGAAACTACAAAATTGCATAAATATAATCCGCAGTCTACTTATGATGTACACGCCCGCTCAAAAGTCTTGGAACATGTACTGTATTCGTTTGAAAATTTGGCAAAATAGATAGTACTTCACATAACAAAGAATCCGTGCGAATCCAATCAACAATCGTATTATAAAAATCATGTGCAATTTAAAAATTTTATTTACGATGAGAATAGTTGTTACGTGTTATACTGTTGTGTTGTTGAAAGTAAAAAAAAGTTCTTAAGACTTTTGAGCACGCCAAATTCAGAAATCCCTTTCGAGAGCCGCTTCTTCTTTTCGTATTTAGTTATTTCTGCGCGAAATAACCCGAACGTGGCAAAAAAAAAAATTCAAGTTCTTACTAACGAAATCTATTTTTGTTTTTCTTTGGTTGTTGATACAGGTACGAATGACAGCACAGACAGCAGTATTGCTGCTCACTAAAAGAGGGTTCTTCGATAACGCCACGATAGAGACCAAATTCTGCCCCGTTATAGAATCTTTGTGTACGTCCGCCGATTTCTCTGGCATCTCTGTAAGTTTCTACATGTTCTTCTTCATTTTTTTTTTTTCTTCGTGTATGTTTTCTTTGTGGTTTGTTCATTTCCCCCCCCCCTTCATTTAAGATTTTAATTTTAAATTTTGTATATGTATCTTTGTCCTGCGTCGCGATCCATCGTTCAACGTGAGTAACGTTACATTTATGTTTTTGAGAAATATTTCAGAACAAGAGAGAGACATCAATTCTGCCCTCCAATGAATTTTCTTCATTCGTTTCAAAACAATTAATTATTACTCTGTAACCTGTATATTTACACCAACTGTACACTACCGTTCAGAAGTTCTAAACAATATTTTCTTTCAAATGAAGTAGATTTTTTTCTTACACTTTTCTACGAGGTACGAATATTGTAATTATAAGCTTCTATTTTTTTAGCATAATCAATCACAATTTTAATGCTTGAATGTGTTAGTTTCCGAGGTAAGTGTTAAGCGGTCGAACACACTTATTATACAAGTTTGCCCTCTTTTCATTACAATATCTCGAAACGAACAACAAAGCAACTTGCTTGCAATCATGTTCCCTACATTTGTTGGAATTCCCCAAGTTCCCGGTTGGGTCGTAAATTATAGAAAGCTGAATAGCGCCGGGCTATCTGCCTTCGAACAGTCACGAAATCACGTCGCCGCTAACAAATATCATAAACAAGATATTTATATTTGCCTAAGGAAGTCATTATTTCTTTCGAAATCTTAACACGCTCTTCTAAACTTTTGAGCGGCAGTGTACTTAGGAGATAACACAAATACGAGGCATTTCAAACATTTCAACATATCTCCGAGAAATAAAAAAAAAGAAAAAAGAAAAAAAAGCGTTAGGTAGAGACGTTACAATCGAACCGTTCGAACGATCGAATCTATCGAAAGAAACTACCCCTCCAGCGGAGATCATCTGCCATTTTATCGATTCCTATATTCGTAATACAAGATTCGTAATGTACGATTACTGCGTGTTTTTTTTTTTTTTTTTTTTT